GCGGCTCTTAAAGGGGAGGCCGCGGCGGCGGCGGCGGCGCGCCCCCCTGCACCTGCTGTCGGGGCATGCGCCTTTGACCCTCAGTACCCTACCTTCCTCTAATCGCTTGTTCACCTTTCTTGGGTTTGAAGCCTTGGGCTGAGGTCCTCAGGAGCCCTACATGGTTTCATCCTGACACCCCAGCCCACATCCTAGCCCTCCTCCTACCTTTGCCCACATCAGGCTGAAAGACTTAAACATCCAACGAGGAATAATAGCTAGGTCATATTGAGTACTTACTGCATGCCAGGCCCTCTGCTAAGAGCTTCACATGCGTTCACTCACCAATCTATAAGGCAGGGGTTATAATTATCCTCATTTTGAAGATAAGAAAATGGGAAGCTTAGAGAGGTTCAATAATTTGCCAAGGTCCACGAAACCACTAAGTCATGCTGCTAAGATATAAACTCAGGAAGTCTTACTTTAAACAGGGCTACGTCCACCAACTGCTAACTAGCAAACCCTCCTCCTTCATCGCAGGATGCCAAGACACCCACCTAGGAACTCCTGAAGCCAAAGGGTACAGGGGCATCTGCCATGCCACCCCATCTCAGCCGTCACTAATCACTCCAGTTGGAAGAGGACCACACCCAATCTAATCTGCATTTTCAGATTGTCAGTTCCTAAGCTTTGTAGGGGAACAGCACTCTCAAGGTAGGTACCCTGCGGCAGGGGAATCATCCTCTTCCTAAGGAGGGGCTGCCTCGGGTCTAGGTAGGAGATGGATCCAGAGGCTCCAGTTTCACCCCCGTCAGCAAGCACTGGCGGCAGTGAATGCCCTAATTCTGAAGACATTTATATCCAGAATGTAGGCTAGCCTGCCTCCTGATTTTCACTGAAGCAACAAAACTCCAGCAATCTCTGCAACCCCCCTCCCCCATCGCTTTCCTTTCCTGTCCCATTTCAAAGCTTCTGCATTCTTTATGTGGAGGTGTAATCCTCTGGTGATCACAGCATCCACCCGTGCCCATCCAGGCTGAAAGGACATGTTCAGAACTCTGTATTTCAGTTACGGTCCTATTCAAACTCAGTATCCTTGAACCACACAATGGTCTATTTCCACCCTGATAATTGTATTTCCAAGCTCAAACACTTTGGAAGATGTTTTCCCAATAGGATTCAGGGAAGCAGCCTCTGATGACCCCTCTTGCTATTCTTTCTTTCTTTCTTTCTTTTTTAACATTTTTTATTGATTTATAATCATTTTACAATGTTGTGTCAAACTATTCTTTACAACTTCCTCTTCAAAAGGCCTTTCTTCTAATTGGAACATAGCCTGTCCTTGCCCCTCAGGCCACTTTTAATCGCTTCTTGATAAACAAGAATAAATCTCATCTGGGTCTTCTTCCACTAACTCGGAGGCAGATCTACAGCTACATTTTTTCATATGTAGCCAGGCCTCCTATTTTGAGGAACCTCACCAATGACTTCCCAAAACCTTGCTCAGGCCATTCCCCAAGGCTTTTTCCCCTCTGACGGCTCCAGGAAGGTAGGTACCCACCCACTTTCCTATCTATAGTGCATAAACTATAGAAAGCCCATCTTTGCTCCTACCCTCTGATACATGTAGTACCTTCCCCTCACCCCCAAGGCCTCAAACCACAATGACTTGGCACTTCCTTCTCCCATATGGGCACAAATTCAGGAAGCAAAGAATAAAAATTGGATGCAGCAATGTAACGATGATATGAAAATGAACCATTCTCCACCCTCAACCCCGCCTTAAACCTGGCCCTGCTTTTTAGAATGGCTGGCATAAGGAAGAATTTACTCCACTCCAAACAGATTTGTTAGATTTTTAATAAGAACATGGAAATCCCAATCAGCCCTTCAACAAAATTAAAATACAGAAAGTGAAATTAAAAGTATTCTACAGTAAATGACTTTTATTAAAAAAAAGTAACTGTGAACATATAAACAAGCCTGCAGGGCACTACAGTACAGCCAGGAAGAAGATAGATACATTTTCCAATGTACCCATGGGCCAATGAATCCCATCATTTTCAAATAAATTCTTAATAAAACTCCACTGAGTTGGAAAGTTTTGCTGAAAATATTTCTAGACCAAAACCTCCCCAAAACAAAAAGCCTCATGTAGGAAAGAAAACTTTCCTTTGCGTTTGGAACTGTAAGAGGAGTCCCAAGGGAACGCTGGTAGTAGGTGAAAATGGTTCCTGGAGTCACCAGTGTGTGTATGCATGGAACACACCACAGCTCAGACATGACAAAGTTCTCAAGACAGCTGTTCCCTCAAGATAGGACTGAGATGGGAGGGGGAGAAATTAAAAGAATCCTAAAAAGCCAATCCTTTTAAATTCTGCTTTGGCTGATTTTTGTGCTATAATGGGCAGTTGATTTCTAAAAATCTTATTTCTTCAAAGAGTTTTATCGAAAGGAAGACTAAATGTAATGTGCCTCTCCTCATAATCCAGGAAAACAACTGTGGTATTTCAAAAATTCTAAAAATATCTACTTTCATGAAATAGTAACTATTTCACTACAAACCTATTTTTCACTAAATACACACGTTTCCTAATCCTGGAGCCTCCTGGGAAAAGCAGTGGATTCTCCCTGGGTCCCGCAAGACTCCAGTGCTCATGGGAGAGACGGTTGGGAATGGCTTCACCCTGCTCCCGGGATGGGCTGTGTCAGAGGTCGTGTGCAGAGACACTGTCAGGCTTCCACTAGGCATGTTTAAGCAATTAGCCTCCACTTGTACCAGTTATGTGATTCCCCCTACCTCCAAACACATTCCCACCTAACTAGGCACGAGAGAAAACAAAAAGAAAGGTGTGCCCACATTCCTGGTTTCCATGAATCTCAAATCACGAGAACGTGCAGGAAAGCCCAGCGATGTTCAGGCAATTCAGAGTCCCAAAAGGCCACAGGATGGGGATGTGGCACCCTCGGCTTGGAGTCTGAAACTGTGTGTGAACAGTGCAACTTTCCTGTGTCAACCTTCAGTGTTGAGGCAGCATAGAAAAGAGTGACTGGAGAGTTTGTAATACTGACCACACTGGCTCCAAGTGAAGGACCTCTGCTCCAGCAGAGAACCCTGCCGTTCTCTGTATGTGTTGTGAGTAAAAGACCTGCTTCACAGGGGAGTTTGGAATTTCTCCACACCTAAGACCTTGCCAGTTTGGATTCATGAGCCTTGAGGGTGCCAACAGCATCTTTCACTGCATGATAAATGATGTTCTTCACCTGGAGAGAGCAATCAGCACAGTCAGTTCATGGCAGCCACATACTGTGTTCTGCAATTGAAAATTATGTTCTACACTGACTAAAAACCTACTGATTAGTGAGGAAAGCCCTCAACCAGGACTGTGTGCTTCCCAAATCAATCCCAAAGATGGTTTACAAAGTCACACAGGATATGTAGTCTATATTTTAAAATGGATGATGAAATCATTTGAAAGGCTATATAATCACCATCCTCTGTGTGCTTACTATGTGCTGTGCACTATTGCTAAGCTCTTTATGTGGATCTTTTTTTTAAAGCTTGGGAACATGATTATATTAAAATATTTTTTTTCATTTTTAAAAAATTGAAGTATAGTCATTTTACAATGTTGTGTCAACTTCTGGTGTAC